ACCTGCAGTACAGTGACTCGGATGCAATGAAATTAAAGCAGGCAATCTATTTTAATGAAAGTGACCCCGCTGTTGTGGCCTATGCACAAAATCCTAAGCCTTTCTTTATTTTTATATATTTAGGTTAGGTCCTCTAACTTTTTATTTTATATACAGTGGCCCATGCACTGTATTGTTCCTATTTGATGAATAGCCAAATGTATCATTTACAATCAACTTAGCATGAAAGGCTATTGTGGCAAAATCATTTGTTTACTTCCCCATACAGTGCATTGTGTGTCACATTCATTTGCTCATTCCATTACATTATTAAAATGTAGTGTTCTTCATGGACCCAGGAATCAGTCCATTTGCTGACTGTAGAGCAGTGTTATTGTTTGAGGAATCAATTCATTTAAAAAATTTGGAGTTTAGCATATCTGGCTGCTTCCCTTATGCATTTTGGGAGCCTACATATTCTGACTTGCCAGGTGATGCACTCTACCCATGGCTAAATGAACACCACATAGGTTCAATCCGTCTATTTAACTGGTGTGCTTTTACACCATTGTTGTAATGCGAAATATAATATATACTAAGACCAACTCTTGTGTACATTATAAAATAGTGTGTTCATTTTTTAAGAAAGAAAATAAATTGCCAGGCCTTTGGTAAAAATGTAAGCACTAATAATATAAGTAACGTGGGAAACCCATTTATTAGGAACAATTAACCCAAATATTAGTTAAGAATTATCACTGAATGCATCTATTCCCCAAGAATTGACGGAAAAGGAAAACTGTACATTCATAATTCTCCAAAGAATATTACCTAGTAGGCCTTTGCAAATGATCGAATTGGTAAATATCGGTCACCTGTGATTTTGTAGATCTGGAAATCCAAAAGTTGGTTTTAAATTGTCAATAAATTATATCTCCACACAAAAGGTAGATTGATACATTATACTAGATTCAGTAATCATATAAGTTGTGTATCCTCCTCACATCGTGATTTACCAAAGGTTCGCTTGCTTCAAATATCTTATTGCCTTAAGGTGAAAAAAAAACTAACATTTTTTTAAACTTATTTGCTGGCTGCTTAATGGGTTTGCTTTTTAATTCTTAATTATTGTCAAACTGCACTTTAAACCAAAGCAGTTTAATAACCTGATCAGCCAACACGAAAGAGAATAAAACGTCTTATCTCACATACAAGTGTTGAACTTCAAGGTTTCTTATTTAATCACATTATGTTTTTCTTGTTTTTTTAAATGTACATTTTTCAAAAGAACTTGTCATTTTTAAAGATCTAAGTTACCATATAGCGTGGAATTGGGTAATTTTGAAAAGAAAGCAGTAGCCAATATAGAAGCCCCAGCAAAACGATATTTACCTTTTAACATTGTATATAAAAAATACATTTAAATATGCTACACTGCTTTGGTGCACCATAAAGGTAGAGCCTAAAACTTCACATAAATTGTGAATCTCCTAAATCAGCTCTTAATAATCAAATTCAAAAATACACCAAGTCTTCAGCATCCCCTTGATTACTGAGGAAAGTCAAAAAAATACCCACAAAGTGGTATTTCTTGTAAAATATTTTATAGCATGCAAGATAAACATTTTCAAAATTTTGCATGTGCTAATACTCAAGCAGCCAAAACATTACAGAGAACAGCATGATACAAGTTGAAATCCACAGCTTGTCATCTTACCTCCTTGCCAGTGTTGACATAAATGCAATATATTCAAATATACAATATATTAATGGCACAGGGCTGTGAAATCTGCTATGCATGAAATTAACCCGTTCCCAGGAGGTTAGCTTGCATAGCCTAAAAAGGATTAAAATATTATTGCTTTTATGTTTTGCCTAAGTATAAATTGTTATTAAAATGCTAAGGCATGTGATAACTTCAGAAGTTATTAAACAGCAGTGAAAGCACCTTCTGGCAATACTCAGGTCTATACTGGAGTAGGTAAAGGAGAAAGTGCCCACAAAGGTTAGCTTCAAGCAATTTGAGAGCAGTCATTAGCCAATAACCAAATTATCTCTACCAAAGATGGATTTTATATTATTTTCTCCCTGTGGCTAATACCACCCATCTGCTCTCTAAATAATGGAGTTGTGTTAATTGTTCATTTCAACTCTTTCAGGGGATTTTTAGATTGCTCTTGAACTAGTTCCAGTACATCAATAAAAAAACAACAACAACATATAAGTGCACATTTAAATCACACATGCATATATTATGCTGTGTGTGTTATATATTTACAGTGATATCAAAATATATACCTCAGAACCCGATGCTTTTATATAAGGCTAGAATAATAAACTATATTTTTGATTATTGTCTTGGAAAGTACATCTATTCACATTACACATCAATAAACAGACATACAATGGAAATGGCAATGCACTATATACCTTTCATCCATAACATTTTATACTTGGTATATTTTGCATTGGTAGCTACATTGCTGATAGGAATAAGGTGCTAAACTTTTAGTTTTAGTTTTACAGGTAACATGCCTGGAATATACTTCTTTAAAGTGGCAAATGCTATATAATGATGTTATAAAACATAGTATATGTTGCATTAGTTCAAATGCTACAGACTTTCAAACATCCATACTATAGAAAGCTGCGAGTCAGTGCTAATACTCCCTACTCAGTAAGTTGTAATAAGTAAATAAAAAATGGTCTCAAAAATAAGCATGTATTTTATATATGAAAGATAGATAGGCACATAAACGTTGTGCTAGGAATAACTTAAAGGTAAATTTGATAATATATGATCGCATAAAATACACTACTTTTGTTATGTCTTGGGTAATAAAAAAATAAAAACATGATATATATAGGTACATATATATATATAAAAAAAAAATATAGATATATATATCATGTTTTTTTTATGTACAGTATCATAGTACAGTACACACTTTAAACAGAAGACAGCAAAAATTAATATATATATCTATATAGATATATATATATGATTTTTGTTTTCCAGTCTTCTGTTTAAAGAGTGTACAGTAATGTATTATAATAATACAAAAACTAGCGAAGACTGCAACACTGCCTGCCTATCTCCAGTGGGAGCCAAGTGTGTTTTGTTTTTATAGTAACTCCCTTAACCTGTAGCCACCTGTACAGTCATTTACTGCTTCTGACTGTACAGGTGTAGAATGAAGGAAGAAGCCTTCACCTTACACTGCTCTACAGAAATGATACAATAGATGTGGCTACATTCCCTGACCTAGAAGCAACAATGAATACTTTTATGTAGCAACTGGAACCATGATCTTGTACCTCCTATTGAATAAATGATTTGAAAACAGTAGGGTCAAGTGGAGGCCATCTAAAACAAAATAAACATTTGTGCAGGAAGAAAAATGACATACGAAGTCATTAATTTAGCACAGGTGACGACCGAGAAAGTCATATAAAAATCAGCATTCACACAAACAAAAATTAAATGTAAAACCAAATACTAATACTGATAGACTAAGAAGACACCAACCTATTTTTGTTGCAGGCAAAACAAAGAAAACGGGCTAGATACGGTTATTAAATTCTACAAATTTAAAAAAGGTGTAAGAGAAATCTGGAACTTCATCAAACGATTTTTCATTATTATTTCATATTTACAAATAGTGATTCTTTTTTTCATTCTATGAATTCGTTGTCTGTGCTCTAGAGCTTGTGATCCCAGTAAAGGAAACACTAAAGGGTTTCCTCATATGACAAAGCTGTATAGGTAGGCTACATGGAAACTTTTTCCCAGTGAAAAAAGTACATCAAAGCTACAGTGATACACCTGCTGTTATAACATAATAATAATAAACACCAAATAGTTGAAGCATTGTAATAAAAAAAGTTAGCAAACAAAGCTGTAACAAATACATTCTCAACTTGAACTGACACGAAATCTAAACACATATATACTTTTACTGGTTATATGTCTCTGGTTTAAATAACCGTGCCTGTGGTTTAAAGGATTTCAGATCAGTTCT